GGTTGGGAAGACAGACCTAGGAGGAGCGGGAACTGAGAAGGATGGGGGTACATTGTATGAAATTCCAAAGTAATTACTAAAAAGATAGATGTCCTAGTTTGGGCTTTGCTGTGAAGAGACGCCATGGCCAGTGCAACTCTTACAGAGGTAAACATTTAAATAGTTTCAGGGATTTAGTCCATTATCGTCATGGCGGGGAGCACGGCAGTGTGCAAGTAAGCACGGTGCTGGGAAGGAGCTGAGAGTTCTACAAATCTTGTTCCACAGGTGGCAGAAGAGGACTGTGGGCCACACTGGGCACAGCTGGAGCATATGTAGCCTTAAAGCCCACCTTCACAGTTACGTACTTCTTCCAAAAAGGCCACATATCCTCCAGTAAGGCCATACCTCCCCACCGCCAAGCATTCAGACACATGAGTCTGGGGCCATACCGATCCAAACCACCACATTCCATTCCCTGAACCCCATAGGCTTTCTTCTACTTCCTGTGCATCCCTCTATCCATACATCTGACTTCCTCTTACTCTCTGTTGTTTTCCTATGTTCACTTCCTGTCAACTGGCTGCTTGCTTTGCCTCTTGATCCATTGATCTCATTTAATTCAAGCAGCAAACACTTGAATTAAAGGTGTGTGCTAGGGCTGAGCCATACCACAACTAGAAACTGGTTCTCCAAATCAACAATACAATCTTGATCACAGTGTGATCAAATATCTTGCAACGGTATCCATAGCTCTGGAATCTCCAGCATTTTAGGGTCTTCAAGGCAATGTAGGCCTCACCTTCCAAGCCTCATGCAATGGCCTCTCTAGACCTCCATGCAAGGACAGCCCTGACACATGGCTGGCCTCAGTGACTTTCCTTAGTCACAGAGAGAAATTTCCTAACTCCTTTCTTCTATCCTTGATTCTAAAGCCAGAATTGTGTGGCCAAAGCTGCCAAGTTCTGCTGCCTGCTGGGGCTGGAATATGACCCCTTCTTCTATTACATATTCACCAGCTTTCTGTTTTCAATGATTTCCTTCACTCCCTAAGCTTGGCTGTTGTGTAACTTATTATGTAAGCTGACTTTGAACTCTGAGATCTGAATGCGTCTGCCTCCTGAGTGCTGGCATTAAAGGTGTGTGCCACAACACCTGGACCTAAATTATAACTGAAATCCTTATCACAAAGTGGAAGCTTAGCTGGATGAGGTCTTGCTCTGAGGGCACCACTCCCTTTATTTCATCTTTTCTTTCATCTGTTTATATCCTTGAACACAAGATTTAGCTCCATTCTTCCTGGTGCCCCTTTTCATTATAGATGTTGAATAGCATGATTATTAAAAACCACAGGACACAGACTCTATACTAGGCTGTTTTGAAATCTCTTCTGGAAATGCAATTAATCCAAAACTCTTCAATTTAACCTCAAGTAGATTTTTTTTTAATGAGGGCAAAACCCAAACATATTCTTTGCCAAAATATCACAAGAACAGTCTCTAGGCAACATACCAAAGTTCTACCCTGAAACCTCTTGATCCAGGTCCCCATAGTTCAATTCACCCTCAGCACCACTGTCTTCCATGTTCCAACTAGGATGGCCCAGAAGTAGGGCTTAAAGCATTTCACTGCTTTTCTAATATGAAGTCCCCAAATTTATAGTCCTCCAAACAAAAACATGCTCAGGCCTATCACAGCAATACATAAGTCCCTGGTACCAACTTCTGTCTTACTTTGGGTTTTATTGTTGTGAAGAAACACCATAATCATGGCAACTCTTTCAAAAGGAAACATTTAGTTGGGGCTAGCTTAGAGTTTCGGAGGTTTAGTCTATTTTCGTGGTGGGGAGCATGGTAGCATGCAGGAAGACATGCTAGAGAAGCAGCCGAGAGTTCTCCATCTTGATCCACAGCCAGCAGAAGGAGACTATGGGTCACGAACTGGGCTTAGCTTGAGCATATAGAACTGTAAAACCCATCTCCATCACTTCCTCTAAAAACGCCACATCTCCTCCAATAAGGCCACACCTCCCAATAGTGCCACTCCCTATGGCCAATCTGGAAAGTTCCAACAGAAAGCATGAAGGAATGCATTCAAACAATGTTTATTTACCTGTGGGTGTCTGAAAACCTACAAGTGTTGGGCCCCCGAAGTGGGGAGACCCTCTGTCCCTCGGGATAGATGCCGGACCCTGATGACCCGATGCAAAACAGCAAGAGGCTTATATTTGCAGGCCGCCCGGGGCTCAGTACACAGCTCCCATGCAAGGGATAGTGAAGAGCCCTAAGCAACAGAATCACAGAGTTTATAAAGGCAAAAACCACAAAGCAGGAGGGGGTCTAGGGGTTAGGGACTTTCCTAACTCAGCATTCGGGTCTCAGTAAGGTTTTGTATCAGATCCTGGTTTGGTAAGAATTAAAGTTTACAAGTTCAGGTTCCCAGGGTATGGGGCCAAGTAAAAATTTTCCATCCTTACACATGCACATTATTTAACTAGATTCTAAAGTTCAGTGCAGGTAGTAGAAATATAGTTAATTTAAAATATGTGTAAGTGTTTATAAAAAGTAAACCTTTGCTCTCAATCTGTAAAGTATTACAATCAGTAAATATGCTTTCAGGTTTCCTTGTCAGAGCTTCTCCATGGCGTGAATCTTTTCTTATTTGTATTACTAGGGTCTGGAGTGGAGCTCAGTGATGCTGCTGGTGCTCGCTGTGCACAAAGTCCTGGGTTTGGTCCCCAGCACCAGAACAAAAAGCATGTAAGAGCAAGAAGGGGAGAACAGAAGGGAAGGGGAAAAAGAGAACATTTTTAGGACAAAAAGAATGTTCTTTTCTCCCAGTGAAGATCTGAGTCTTTAAGACTGCTGAAATAAATAGGCAATAGATGGATTAAGAAAAAAAAAAAACACATGAATTCATGAACATTCACATGCATACAGGAGCCACACAAAACATGAAGCTCAAAGAGCCCCAGCTGAGTGATCCTAACGTAGGACAGATGGAGGTAAGAAGGTTGTTGGTAAATTTCACTAGGGTAATAAATGATTTGTAGGGGGTATAAATGAACTCAGCATGGCCAAAATTCCTCTATGCTCTTTGTGAAGTGGTTTAATTTTCAATCTCTGTCTATAGTATGAGTTTAATCCTCCATGGTTAATAAGATTTCTCATCTTTAGATAGTAACTTAGATTGATTTTTTTGTTGCTATGATAAAAATCAAGTCATTTATAAGAACTTGGCTCTTGGTTCTGCACACTGCATGGTTTAAGAGCATGATCTACTCCACACTTAGTGAGGGCGCTCTCACAATATCTTAGCATGAGAAGACAGACAGAAAAAACAAAACAAAACAAAACAAACAAACAAAAAAAAACCACAAAAAACCATCCTGGGTGTCGCTTTCTATTCCTATAAAGCCACTAATCCTAACCCTGCGTTGTCATGAGACTCCACCTTCACTATCTCACCTAATTCTAACTTCCAAAAGTTCTCTCCAATACCATTGACCTATAACTTTGGAAACTCATTTTCCAGGACATGAACAATTTTAGAGGCTACATTCAAACCCTAATATTCTGCCTCAAATATGTGTCATAGTCACAGATAAAACACTTTAATTCAATTCCAATAGCCTCAACTCATTAACCCATTCTAACATCCACTGAAAAGATTGATCTTGTGACCTGAATATGGTTCAGATTAAATACATGAATTATCTTGGGGAAAAATCCACTCCAGTTTTGAAACTATAACGTGACCAAAAAAAAAAAAAAAAAAAAAAAAAAAAATCAACTTCCAAAATGCATTGTTGGTACAGCCAAAGACAGACAAAGGGACAATAGACAAAACACAAAGGGAAATGGCCACCAGTTATGCTCAAACTCCAAGAGAGAAGACATGAAGCTTTAAACCTGGAGAACAATTTCCTTGACTGACGTTTTACCTCCAGGGCACACTGTGTGGTGGTCCTGTCTGTACAGCTCCATTAGGCATTTTTCCAGTGGGATTGTGTCCTGGTTCTTGACTCCAATCACACAGTGGAGTCTGTCTGTGGAGTGTCTGACCTAACTCACCGGGAAGGTATTTATCCAGCAAGGCTTTTCACAGAGACTCCACTTTTGCCCTGGTCCCCAAAGTAGTCTGGCTAAGGGAGTCCATGTTCCCACACCACTTAACTTTGTACTCACTACAGAATTATCACGGTGGGAACACCATGAAGGATTCCTGACCACTTGCAGCTTTCTGAGCATCTGATGGTGCCACGTTGCCATCATGAGCTCCTGGCTTACGCTGGAGGAAGCCGGGAATGCTACGCCTTGAAGTGATCCTTGTCATTAGCCTCCCAAGTGGCTGGCATTATAGGCACTTTGCATCCTGCCTGACTAAAAAATTGCTTTGTATTCTCTAGTGTACTTCCTTTCTGCTACTTTCCTAATCTCCTCGCTTATTTCACTGCAAAGAGTTAACAGTAACCATGCAGTCTGGGTATGGTGGCACATGCTGGTAACTAGCAATATGGAGGCAGACGCAGGAGGAGTGCCGTAAGTTTAGCCTTGCCGTGTATATATGACAAGACCCAGGGCAGCCAGGGTACATAGCAAGACCCAGCCACACCAGACAGACAGAAAATACCCACAGAAAAACCCAGTGGTTTCTGAGCTTTGAAATTTCTTCTGCCTCGTATCATTCCTTGTGACTTTTGAGTTGCCCGCTTAATCTTGCTAGCTTGTCTAGTCCTTGGACGTGGTGAACAAATTATAGCCAAGTTCTTTGCAACTTTAACAAGAAAGCTCTTTGTTCCCATTTCCAAACCTCGTTTTCTTTAACATTTCCCTTTAACCAAATGCTTTATTCTGATAATTATTAAAAGAAGGGTCACAATACTTTGTTAATTATTGAAAATAGACAATATTTAAGAGAAGCCGAACAAAAAAGACAACACAATTATATTTCAAAGCATCCATGAACCTGTAGGCAGAAACACTCACAGACCTTAATTTAGTGAATGAAAAGTTCTCTCAATGGCAATAGATACAGAAAAGAAAATAAAGCTTAAGAGAGAACTTGGGTATTTCTGGGGGACAAATTTTTTAATTATTAATATAATCGGTGCAGGAATTTTTGTGGCCCCCAAAGGAGTGCTGGAGTACTCTTCCATGAATGTGGGATTCTCTTTGTGTGTTTGGGCTGTCTGTGCAGTGCTAGCTCTGACCAGTACTCTCTGCTTTGCAGAGGTAGGGATAACCTTCCCATGCACTGGAGCCCACTACTATTTTATCAAGAGATGCTTTGGCCCCTTCCCTGCATTCCTGAGACTTTGGACCTCCTTGTTTCTGACGCCAGGAGTAGTTGCTAGCCAAGCTCTGCTACTTGCTGAATATGGCATCCAGCCTTTCTATCCCATCTGCTCTACCCCAAATCTACCCAAAAAATGTCTGGCCTTAGCTGTGCTGTGGATTGTGGGAATTCTGAATTCTCGAGGTGTGAAAGAACTCTCCTGGCTTCAGACAGTGAGCACGATGCTGAAAATAGGCATACTCAGCTTAATTTCCTTTAGCGGGCTGTTCATGCTCCTGAGAGGGAAGAAGGAGAATGTGGGAAGGCTTCAGAACGCGTTCGGCACTGAGACTCCAGAGGTCTCCCGGCTAATAGAAGCTGTCTTCCAAGGATACTTCGCGTTTTCTGGTGGGGGATGCTTTACGTTTGTAGCAGGTAATTATCAATCTGGGGCGGGGAAACAAGCCATGGTTTATATATTTCATGTATGAAATGAGCACCTTTTATTGTGTACTGCCTATCATCTTATAAAACATTTAATTAGCTTCTGCTTTGAGTTTCTAAACTGCTCTTAATTCTTGTCCTCATTCAATCCATTCCAAACCTCTGTGAAAACAAACAAACAAAAAATTCTCTTTTTTCATCTTATTTTCCCAGGATCAGAAATATGAGACCCCTGATTAATGTAGTTTTCTTTCTGTTAATGTGTGAATGCTCAGATTTCCCTCTTTTGAAAATGTGGATCCAGGAGTGATGTAAAACCAGACTGTATTGCTGTTGTGAGTGGGTGTGATACATGTAGGCGTGATTCACGCTTTTCATTTACTTATTTTTGGAATCACATTTTTATTATGAAAATTTCTTCTTTCATGTATGAATGTGTGCATATAAAAATACAATTGGGAGATGCTCAGTAGTAGAGCATTTGCCTAGCATACCAGAGGCCCTAGGTTTGATTCCTAAACAAATAAACAAATAGAAAGTTTTGGATTATTGCTAGTAGCGATGGTCACCAGAACCTGGCAGAGGCTCTCCCCCCCCCCCTCAGCCTGGCCCTCTGCATACATGAAATTAAGCTGCTTCTGGAGCTTCAAGACCTCTTGCCTACCATGGCAGTGCAGGACTGCTGTAAACAGTTGGTGGTTTTGTTTTTGTTTGTGGGGCTTTGCTTCCTTGCTCACTCATAACCTCCAAGCAGAACATCAGGGGCTGGACTTCGCTTTGCACTTGCACTAGGCTCTTTAGGGGTTTTGGACACAAAAGAATCCTAGCTGTCTTGAAGGCTCTCAGGCAAGAATAATACCTTCCTCTTTGATAACACGTCCCTTTTCATTTTCAAAGTCGACCTCTATCCTTGATTCTGCATTCTTCTCTTACCAACAGGGTCTCTTCACATTCATTTATGTTACTCTCCCTTAAACTTAAATGTTACTTTGCCAGCTCTTGTCTTTCATATTAAATATGAACAGACTTGACTCTTGAATAAACTTCTCTTTAATTTCATGGATTCTCTCTCTGCTTTCCATAGCAAGTATTTTCTTCTCTCTATACTTGTCTTTTAATCTTCAAAATGGTATCGTGGCTTAAGATCAGTATACCTCTTTGTCTTAAAAAACAAATAATTGTATATGTATTTAATACTGGCCATAAAGAAACAATGCAGTTACTGTGTAAGTTCAGTAGAAGAAGAGATCAGTTTTCATTGTTACTAACTGTGAAAGACTAGAAAGTTGACTATAATAAAGCCTTCCCAAGTGTACCAAGTAAGACTGAAAACCAGAAACAGAGAGCACACGTAAGGGACTGCAGGAAACCACGAAAGACCATAAAACTGCCTTTATCTGATGGCTAGTGGCCTTGATGCTGGGTGAGAAGGTTAACACAAGTGTATAGAGAAAGAGCACAGGCTGGGGGCAGAAGACCACACAATGCCACCTTTTTCTGCAGTAGAACAAAGTAGGTCCAGCAAGAGAGCAGAAAAGGCTTAAGAATCAGATAGGTAAGTCTTCTTGTGTTTCAAAAAGAGGGCGCTAGCCACAAGGCTAAATGTTCCAGAAGCTGAGGAGCCTGAGAAGAGATCAGAAGGCTCTTTCTTGGTGAGGTGAGATATTAGTGATGAGCTTTGTGGTTAGTAGTTAGTCTACACTGGGCTAAAAGGTGAGGAACTAAGAAGAGGCGGCTGGGACAGTTCTGATGTGTTTGACCTAAACCGAGTCCTTATGGAGTGTAGGCACAGGGTGTATCGAAATCCCTGCAGCTTTTTCTTTACCATCAGCTGTTGGAGAGGAACTCTGTGTTAGTTTACAGATTATTAAATGTTATAGATATTTCTTATTCACAAATAATGACTCGCTCTGGGAGTGAGTGTGTATGTAACATGTGTGTGCATGTGTGCGCCTGTACTTGTGCGTGCACACACTCAGAAGAGAGGTACTTCACTGTATTTTATCTTGTTTTGAGGCTGGAGATGCGTGAGTGCTGTGTAATTATTTCTGATTAAGAAAGGCCTATAACATTTTCTAATCTGTAAACTAATAAAGAATTCCTCTCAAACAGCTGATGGTAAACAAAAAGCTGTGGGGATTTCAATACATCCTGCTCCTACACTCCATAAAACTAGGTCCCTATAATCCCGTCACGTGGGAGTTGCAAGAGGAGGGTCAGGAGTTCAAGGCCAGTTTGGCTACATAATGGGTTCAAGATACTGACTTAAAAAAAAAAGTGGGGAATACCCTAGAACTCATTGGTACAGGAGAAAACTTCCTGAACAGAACACCAACAGCACAGGCTCTAAGAGCAACAATCAATAAATGGGACCTCATGAAACTGAAAAGCTTCTGTAAAGCAAAGGACACCGTCATCAAAACAAAGCAACTGCCTACAGATTGGGAAAGAATCTTCACCAACCCTTTATCTGACAGAGGACTCATATCCAGTATATATAAAGAACTAAAGAAGCTGAAAAGCAGCAAACCAAATAATCCAATTAAAAAATGGGGAACAGAGCTAAACAGAGAATTCTCTGTAGAGGAATATCAAATGGCAGAAAAGCACTTAAAGAAATGCTCAACCTCATTAGCCATTAGGGAAATGCAAATCAAAACAACCCTGAGATTTCACCTTACACCCATCAGAATGGCCAAGATCAAAAACTCAAGTGACAACACATGCTGGAGAGGTTGTGGAGAAAGGGGAACCCTTCTCCACTGCTGGTGGGAATGTAAACTTGTACAACCACTCTGGCAATCAGTCTGGCACTTTCTCAGACAACTAGGAATAGGCCCAAGGACATTTCCTACCTATCTGTATTTATTATAATTGTCACAATAACCTCTTTTATATAAGCCTCTTATAAATTAAATTATAATCTCTGTCACCTTTCTACAAACTAAATATGTAGTGAGAATAGACAAAAGGCCCAGAAAAAAAGTAAAGTTAAATTAGAAAGTTGATCTCTAGTTTGTTTCAAAACTAACTAATAACCATAGCTATTAAAACAGCCTGTGTGTGGGAGGCACACATGTGTCCTCACACATGTGAGGTTAAGTGTTCTACCACTGAGACATAATCTAGCCCAACCATAACTATTTTTGAAAGATACCAGGATTGGAATTTTATTGTCTCATAATTTCTTCCTTTGGTGATTTGAATAAGTATGGTTAGACAGGGAGAGAGAATAGAAATTGGTGGGAGGGCATCTCTGCGACAAGGGAGGCTCTTGGGAGTCTGTGAGGGTGACCCTAGCTGAGACTTCTGGGGAAGCAGGGGCTAAGAAGTCTGAAGTGACCACCTCCTGTAGCCAGGCAAGACTTCCAATGGAAGGAGGGAGACACCAACCCACCCTTAAAACCTTTGACCCAAATTTTGCATTGCCTACAAGAAGTGTAAGGATAAAGGTGTAGCAGAGATAAGGGAATGGCAAACCAGTGACTGGCCCAACTTGAGACATACCCCACAGGAGAGAGCCAACCCCTGTCTCCATTAATGATACTCTCTTTTGATTGCAGACAAGAACATAGAATAACTTTTCTGAGAGGCTTCATCCAGCAGCTGATGGAAACAGATGCAGAGATCCACAGCCAAACAATAGGCCAAGCTTGAGGAATTCTGTGGAAGAGTAGAAGGAAGAGAGAGGGAGCCTGAGGGGTCAAAAAGACCTACAGAGCCAATTAACCTGGGCCCATGGGGGCTCACAGAGACTGAACCACCAACCAAAGAGCATGCATAGTCTGGATGTAGGCCCCTACACATAACAGATGTGCCGTGCAGTCAACTTGTGGGTCCCTGACAATGGCAGTAGGGGCTGTTTCTGACTGTGTTGTCTGCCACTGGATCTCTTCCCCTAGCTGGACTGCCTTGCTAGTCCCCAGTAAGAGAAAATGAGCTTAGTCCTGCTGCAATTTGAGGTGGCAGGGTGGGTTGATACCTCTTGGGGGCCTCTACTTATCTGAGAAAAAGGACACGGAACGAGGGGAGGAGGGCATGAGGGTGAGACTGGGAGGAGAGGAGGGAGGGGCTGGGGTCAGGCTGTAGAGGAGTTAAGTGAGTAAGTAAGTAAATAAAAGAATGGTCATGATAGGCTCATATGCTTGAATGTTCACTCACCAGGGAGTGAAACTGTTTGGAAGGATTAGAAGGATTAGGAGGTGTGGCCTTGGTGGAGTGGGTATGGCCTTGGTAGAGAAAGTGTGTCATTAAGGGGCTTTGAGGTTTTAAAAACTAATTCCAGCCCCGTTCTCTTCCCCCCTCTGTCTCCCTCTCCCATCTTCCCTCTTTCCCTTTCCCTCATCCTCTCCCTCTCCTTTCTCTCTCTCTCTTTCTCTCTCTCTGCCCATGGATCAAGACATAAAGCTCTCAGCTACTGCTTCAGCACCAGGCCTACCTGCATGCTGCCATGCTCCCATGCTCCCTGCCTTGGTGATAACGGATAACTCTCCCGAATCTGTGAGCAAGCCCCCAGTCAAATGCTTTCCTGTATAATGGTTTTCCACGGTCACGGTATCCCTTTACAGCAACAGAGCAGGGGCTAAGACACTTTGAACATAGAGATAAGTAAATGAGGCCCTGCAAGTAGTAAGTGCAGACAGAATTAAAGTTATATATCTCTTATCTTTTGTTTATTTTTGGTTTTTTGTCCTTCATCAGTTTATACCAGCTAGCTCCATGCTGGACAAGCACTTCATTAGTGAGCTGTATGGCCAAGCTTGTATTTTTTTTTGTGTGTGTGTGTGTGTGTGTGTGTGTGTGTGTGTGTGTATGTGCATTAATGAAAGGATGGTTTGATGGTTTAAAAATCACTAAAAAAATCCCAGTAACAACAGAAAGAGGGAAACTGACTCTAATCTCTTTCAGAACTTGCCTTACAAATGTATTCATGAGGTGATCTTGGTAGCCATGGAGTTCCTCTCTTATTTTACTTACTCAGAAGTAATGGCTTTTTCTGAGTTGAGGAGAAGCAGGGGCCACATCCTCAGCTAAGAAAGGAAGAATGTTTCGTATAAAAGAATGGGGACTTTAGTAAGAAAGACCACCATATGCTTTTAAAGGGCCAGGCTACCAATTAAACAGAAATAATAAGACTGTCACGTGACTTGTCTCCACAGCTCTCGTTTCTGCTCACATAGTCTCTTACCATACTCATAACTTTCCCTTTTGTGTATGTGATTGTTTAGTGTGGAGCTTCACTTCTTGAGATTAAATCTCATTATTTTTCTTTACTATTCTATTCCTACTGTATGAACACAATGTCTATTCCTACTCAAGGGGCGAGGAGATTGGGGAAGGTTGCAAATGGTACAGGAACCATGAGTCCAAGTTCTAGTGTCTTAAGAGATAGATCAGTGTTTAGCTGTAGTTTGCCTCTGAGTGTGTGTGGAGGATAGTAGCAGAATAAATGGAAAGAATGTTGTCCAATATTTGACACATGTACAATTTTAAAATAAGTTTGAGAAAAAAATTTCCCAAGTCTGATGTTGCTCTTTTATGCATTACAGGGGAGATAAAGAAGCCCAGTAAAACAATTCCTAGATGCATATTTACGGCAATGCCTCTTGTAACTGTGGTGTATTTACTTGTTAATATTTCCTACCTGACGGTCCTGACCCCCAGGGAAATTGTCTCTTCAGGTTTGTATAAAGAAATAGCAAGACGGTAAATAAATTACAGTTCTTTCTGTAGAGTTGTGTCCCTTTGCCAGTCAGGAAGGCTGCACACTGTTCATTATTCCACATTGAGACTCCATTCTTGACCTAATGACATGGTGGTGAGAGTATGATTTGGTTTAAAGGGGGATTCATTTTGGGCATAGCTATGCATTTTCTGACAACGAGGAAAAGTATGTAGAGTGCAGATGGGTGACAGAGATTCAAAACATTGGTTACTGTTTGCATGGTCCCAGGCATAGCAATACTGCATGGTGAGGAATTATGCCTATTAGTACTTGCAAATGCTGGATTCTCAGCAATACATGTGACACCGAGAATGGCAAAAGTGAAATGAGGGATAAGTAAAAACTAATGGTCTGTTAATGACTATAATGAATACTGTTAATATGTAAAATAGATATTTCTTTTAAATAATTCCAAATTTTATGCTGAGAAATGACCCTAAATAGATTGAAATTTTGATTATGGCCTAAATTGAAAAATAAAGAATTAAAGACTATTCCAGGGATATGGTATGTGCCTGTGATCTAGAGCCCGCTGGAGCACCTGTGAAGCTGAGGCTAGGAGATCTCTAGTTTATAGTGACCCTTTTTTAAAAAGAATAAAAGCAAGAAACTCTTAAAGAGAGATGAACATCCCTTTAAAGATGAGTAGCAGATTCAAGGGGTAAAAGAAAATTTAAAAAAGAAAAAAACAGGGGAAAATGGAAAACTCGCTGTTTTCTTATACCAACACCACACCTCAAGGTCACCTTCTGAGATAAAGATGTCACCCACTAACTTTGGACTGAACAGTCTGGAGAAATTCTTCTTGTTTGGGTGAGTATTTAAGACCCTGGAGGAAAGTCTCTTTGCTGACCCAGAACTACACATGTGGTATCATGAGGTAATTCATTACTTCATGTACAGCGTGCAGTGGTAAAATCAGGGTGTTCAGGGTCTCCACTCCCTCAGCATGACCTGGGGAAATTTAGAACCCCAGGGTAGGTCTAATACAAAACCTGCAGTGAACTGCCTTGATTGCAAGGAGACTACGACATAGAATGCCGCAAGGTGGTGCCCCCCGTCCGAGCTGGTTCATCAAGGGTCTTGGTATCCTTGGTCTGAGAGATGAGCTAGAATCAAGCTTCTGTGGGGACAAACCCACACGTTCATGGGCAAATGCCCTGACTCATGAACTACTTCAGCTGTGCCAGGGTTCATTTATAGCAGCGGCTCTCAACCTTCCTAATGCTGAGACCATATAAGAGAGTTCCTCATGCGTAGCAACCCCCCAACATAAAATGATTTTTGTTGCTACTTCATAACTGTCATGTTGCTACTGTTATTAATTATAATGTAAACATCTGATATGTAGGATATCTGATATATGACCCCTGTGAAAGGATCATTCGGTCCCAAAGGGATTGCTACCCAGAGGCTGAGAACCGCTGATTTATAATGTCAGCTACGGTGGAGGCCAGAGCTAGTGGCCAGGGATCATTGAGGCTTTGGTTCATGGAATCTGGCATTCTTTCTGACTGTATTACTATAACCAGTGTTCTGGTTATATTGATTATTAAAGAATTGTAAAACATGTAACATAACATAACAACAATTGCAACAATTTTATAGGCAGCACAATAGTTTAAGCTTGTGTGGAAAACTCAGTAAGCTTCTGTTGTTTGTAATTTCTTTTTTATCAGTTTTTTTCAGGTGTATAATCCTCAGACTTGATTTAACATCTGAATTATTACTTTAAGGTTTTAATAGATTAAAATAATCAGAACTGTATATAAAAATGTATGTTTAAGGAAGGATATCATTATCATCACTTTTGGTAGCACAAAATTAAAGATCACCAAAATATCCAATAAGTCTGAATTGCTCAGATAAGTCTGTGTAAGAGACAGTCCTGAGTTTTTGCTCAACACAACATGCTGGAGAGGTTGTGGAGAAAGGGGAATCCTCCTCCATTGCTGGTGGGAATGTCAACTGGTACAACTTTGGAAATCAATCTCGCACTTTCTTAGACAATTAGGAATAGTGCTTCCCCAAGACCCAGCTATACCACTGCTAGGTATATACCCAAAATTTGCTCAAGTACACAACAAGGAAATTTGCTCAACCATGTTTGTAGCAGCTTTATTTGTAATAGCCAGAACCTGGAAACAACCCAGATGTCCATCATTGGAGGAATGGGTACAGAAATTGTGGTATTTGTACACAATGGAATCCTCCTCAGCAATTAAGGATTTTAACTGCATTTTATTTACTTATTTTGAGTGTGTGCATGTGTACCACATATGGTCCATATGGAGGTCAGAGGACAACTTGGAATTGTTGATTCTCTCTTTCCATGATGTGAGCTGCAGGGGTGGAACTCAGGTCTTCAGGTGTGGGAGCAAGCGCTTTACCTCTGCTATCCCCTCACCGACCCCATTCAGAGTTTTAAGGTCACATTGTAGATGGACACTTAAGGGGACAATGGTTATGATGTCTTAATGATGGAAATACTCTACATTTTCATCCAAAACAGAAAAAAACTAGTGAACAGTGGTACTCAGCTGGAATGAGGCTGTGAGTGATTTCTCTTTTTCTTCAGGAGATACTATGTAGGGATTCCTGACTCCACTCTCAGAACCCCTGCTGACAGGGTGTCACAGAACACTCACATGCTGTTCTAGAGGTGTCTCAGCCACACTTAAAACAGGGAATATTAACATAGGGCAAGATAATCTTAATGGTCAAGGAGTGATGTGGAAACATTTGTTAATAAAGTTTCTTTGTTCAGAAAGCCTGCAGGAAGTTTCTCTCAGATGCCTAGCTGCATTTAGAAATTTGAACTGTAAGTGGAAATTTTAGAATTAGTTCCTCATAAATTGAAACAATCATTTTTGATGATGACTTTGTAGCATTTCTCTTATTTAATAAACACATACTTGTGGGCCGGTGAGAGGGCTCAGTGGGCAAAGCACTTGCCATTGGAACCCTGGTGACCTGAATTGAATTCTGGGAACCTACAGTGGGAGAAGAGAACTGACTCTTAAACTGAAAGTTGTCTTCTGACCTCTTTTTCTCCCTCCCTTTCACTCTCCCTCCCCGTCTCTCCCTTTTTCCCTTTATCCTACACACACAATAATAATAATAAATAAAAATAAAAAAGAATTGCCTTGCTCACAAATCCTACTTCTAAGAATGTATTCTGTGGAGAATTTTGCAAATATTGAGAAGTGAAGGCTAGGTGTGGCTGCTCTACCTAGGCCAGCCAGAGCCACACAGTGAGACTCTATCTCAATAAACAAACAAACAAAATAAGAAAGAAAAATTTGCATGAGTAATTTTTAATTCTTAAAATAATTTTTTCTTATGGTCAATAGTCAGAGAGATCATGCATCAAACTATTTCACATTCTTTTTTTGTGTGTGTGCGTACTTTACTGAAGAACATTTTTTCTTTTGTGGGAGCTAGAATCTTGCTATACAGGCCAGGCATGGCATTTTGATCCTCTTTTCAGTCTTCGTTTGTCAGGGCTTTTGACATGAAGCTCAGCTTTAAAGCACGTTTTCCATTAATAAAAAATTGAAAACAGCCCACAAATCTATCAATACAGAACAAATGGATAATTTACAGTTATGTAGCAGAGTACTGAGAAGTACCCAAGATAGCTTTACGGATATATGTGCACTAATAGGACCAAGAAACACCGGAAAGTGAGCCAAAGCAAACGTAAGCATTCAACCACACCCACATATATGCCGCACAGGACTCAAGCATACAGTCCTCATAGACTGATCTGGGTAATTGTAGAGAAACTCTAGACAGAAGCTAGCAGCATTTACATTTGGAACACGTGGCTGAGAACATGGTGAGGGGAGAGACTTTGGATTTTATAGGGTTCAGTGTTGTTCATTTTACTTTCTTAAACCACACACACACACACACACACACACGCACACACACACACACACATATATATAAATACATATTAATGTATAACAAAACTTTAAATAAAAAATGTAGAAAGGAGTTTAAAATGAGACAAAAACTTGTAGAATGATGGCAAAAAATTTACACCTAACTTTTGAGAGTCATGGTGGGCAGAGCTGCACGAATGAAGTCTTCCTCTGGTTGCAAGAAATCATGGTTATGGAATATCCACTGAGAAACTAAAAGCTTCCTGTGCAGTATGGAAAGGAAGTATATCATGTGTTAAGGTGTTATTTGGAGTAAGTGAGAACTGCAATGGGATGTTTTCAAGTAACACCCAATGTTGTAGAATGACAAAAGAAAGCTGGTGTTACAGGTAGGGCTACTTAAAATAGGTTAAGAGCTGAGCAAGGCAGTGCATACCTATAATTTCACCATTTAGAAACTGAGACATGACGATTGCACGCTTGAAGCCTGGGATACATGAAGATCTTGTTTCTAAACTAGCAAATAAGCACTGGCTAAGAGTTAAGATCTTACGTGGCTCGGTGTCACATACCTTCAATCCTACAACATGGGAGGCAGAGGCAGGCACATCTCTCAGTTTGAGGCCAGCCTTGTCTTCAGAGCCAGTCCCATGATGGCCATGGCTACACAGAAAAACCCTGTCTCAAGAAAAAAAAAAAAAGAGATCCTAAGGACTAAGGATAAGAACCACTGATGTATTTTAAATAGGTTACATTTGAAAAGGCTTATGGTTTGTTATACATCAAAATTCTTCTGTAACAGCGACACATCTGAAGACCTGTAGACAAAATTCTGCACTCAGAGGACTCCTATCTCCCAGGGACATTAGCCTCTGCTCTGTTATCCTATATTATATGTCTAATTACCACTTATGAATGAGTATATACCATGTGTGTCTTTCTGTTTCTGGGTTACCTCACTCAAGACAATCTTTTCTAGTTCCATCCATTTCTTGCAAAGTTCATGATTTCCATATTTTTAATAGCTGAGTAGTATTCTGTTGTGTAAATGTACCCCAATTTCTGTATCCATTTCTCTGTTGAGGGATATCTAGATTGCTTCCAGATTCTGGATATTATAAATAGAGCTGCTACAAACATGGTTGAGCAAATGTCCTTGTTTATATTGTTGAGCATATTTTGGATAACGCTTTTTCTAATGCAAGGTTTCTGAATTTCAGCACCATCAATATTTTGGATCACTTTGTCTCAGAGTGCTTGGTATTAAACTCAGAGCCACACATATGACAGGCAAGCACACTGCTAGTTCACTGTAGCCCAAGTCCTAGGCCACATAGTTCTTTCAAACTGTCCTGAGCGTCACAAGATGCTTATCAGCATCTGTGGCTGTTACCCACTAGGATGCCAAAAGCAAACACTTACCTCTCCAGTTACGGAAAATCAGACAATTCTCCAGACATTGGCATATGACTGCTGAAGAACAAAGTCACCTCTAGCTGAGAACCATTGATCTATAGATTTAAAAGAATCTCAAGCATCATAAATAGTTTGATCTGTGTGTAATTCATGTTCATTTTTTACATTTCACATTGTGCTGTGGTTTGGATGAGTCTGATACTCTGTCAGTAGTTCTATGTTTTGCTTTTTTGATTCTGACTGAGTCTGTCAGCATTCTCTATGCTAGTTTCAGTTCACAGCATACCTTCAGTTATTCACTCAACACAGTTGGTGCATTCCCAAGTCTTCACTGAAAACTCACTATTGCAGTATCTGTCAGTAAGTTACTGATGTTATAGAAAAGACATGAGGAGTCTTTACTTTCAAAAAGTTCCTGGTCTTTTGGGAAAGATAGGAAGTCAACCATTCATGATGCAGTATGATGAACTGAAATAGACCCAAGCCTAAACATGAAAAAGGAAATAACAAAGTTCCCTTCATAGATTTCTTTTTTAGATTTTGTTTTGTCTGTGAAATATTATTGTATAAAGGTTTGTCATCAGATTCGTTTTCTTTACACACGTCTTTTTTTTTTTTTTCCCTCTGCAGATGCTGTGGCTCTTACATGGACTGACAGAGTCATCCCTCAGTTAACATGGACCATCCCTTTTGCTATTTCTGTTTCATTGTTCAGTAATCTTGTGGTTAATGTACTGGAGTCAGCAAGAGTGCTGTACATTGCGAGCCACCAAAGCCAGCTGCCATTGGTGTTTGGTACCCTAAATGTTCACTCCTCCCCCTTCTCAGCTGTGCTACTGATTGTCAGCACGGCATCCATTGCAATTGTCTTAACAAATCTACTTGAACTGATAAACTATCTCTATTTTGTTGTTTCCATTTGGACTTCCTTATCAATAATAGGAATCCTGAAACTGAGGTACCAGGAGCCCAATCTACACAGACCATATAAGGTAAAGGTGGGCTGGGTAAATCTGTTTTATGTAAGATAAGACACATGACTGTATTTGAAGAGCATATTTAGAAGATCTACCATGCAGCTGTACTACTGCTCAGCAAGCTGTGAAGCAAATATGGATAATCTGGACTTCATTTGCATTTTGTTCATGGTGAATAGGCTTTACTTAATACAAAATTTTTTAAGTTTGACCTAAGGATGTGTTAGTGAGAAAGGCAGATGTTTTTGAGATGGTAGAACAGACCATTTAGGGCCATTTGACCTAAGGATGTTTAGCTTATGTAACTGTTACACACACTATCTCATTTACAGTGATGGCAGATACAGCAAATGACAGAAGAGATAAAAGTCAAGTCATGAATGACATTTGCTGTTCTGAAATATTAGCTTATTTTGATCATCAGCGGATTCCTTCTCTTCAGTTTCATTACTTGTATACTTGCTTTTAGTCAAGGGTGAAAATATGTCATATAAAAAAAGAGCATTCTTTCATCACAGAAAGTGCAATAAGCAAAAGCTTAGCAGCATGAGGATATTATCGGGAAAGAGCCCGTGCACGTAATGGAGTAGTCTTGATTGGTTGGTAGCATGTCCAATGTTTTGTTGGAGAATCTCCTGTGCTACAAAAGTTAGATCCCCCATTGTATTTATAGCAGCATTAGAATCTCCTGTCCTACAAAAGTTAGATTCCCCCATTGTATTTATAGCGGCATTAGAATCTCCTGTCCTACAAAAGTGAGATCCACCATTGTATTTATAGCGGCATTAGAATCTCCTGTCCTACAAAAGTGAGATCCCCCATTGTATTTACAGCGGCATTAGAATCTCCTGTGCTACAAAAGTGAGATCCCCCATTGTATTTACAGTGGCATTAGAGAAGAGGAAATGGGGTTATAGAAGGTACACCACAAGCCAAAGCTCATATAACACAGAAGGAAGCCAAGATTCATATCTCAACAGTTGCTTTAGAGTGCTTGACTCTCACTAAGTATGAAGTATAAGAACCTAGAGAGAAAAGAAGCAATCAGCTTTGTTGATGTACCTCTATCTTTTTTTTTTTTTTCAGTCTTCCCTCCTGCTTCTTCCATTCAGCCATCATTAAACTCTTGGCTATTTGAGAACTCATAGTGCTGTGACTATATTTCCAGAACCTTGCTAGATTCTCTTCTCTGGGTACAGAAATAAGTGAGATTCGACTCTGATTCTGAAGCAGGGTATCATCTGTTTGAACACTCAGTGAATGCTAATCAATGCATTAACACTGATATCCAGAGCCCTCAGGTGTATCTAGTGTACGTTTGATGTCCAGGATCTTGGTGGAAGTACCTTCCTTGGATGTCCTTTCCTCCTAATTTCACATCTGTATCTTTTAACATCTTTTGCTTCTTTGCTGTTTTCTGAGTCATGCTTATATCACTGATTAGGTACAATTGTCATGAATTGCTGATAGAGTCACAAAACATCAGAAATACAAGGCAGTCATCAAGGCTCATGTCTAGTTTCTCACATAATTTTCTAAGATTCCTCCTGTCATTTTACTGCTGACATATCTTTCATATCTACAATGATACGGTTAATACTGTAAGACCTGGGGTCTCACAGCTCAGGAGTTCAAGATCGCGCCCTTCCCAGAAACTCCCACAGACCATGGACTCGTTGCAAAAGCAAGAGGTTTATTAACCATTGCACAATGGGGTCATCCCTGCCGGTCAGCAAAGAGTGGCACCGGGAGACAAAGGCCTTTAGGTTTTTAAAAGAAAAATTGCAGGAAATTTGAAGTTGCAGTTTTGGCAATTTAGGATTAGATGAGGAAGCTATAAAGTAAGATAATTGGTTAGTCTTAGGTGCTCAAGCTTGGCCAGTCCTGCCAAGTGTGGATGCAGCTGCAATTGAAGGTGGGGGTGGATAGCTCATCCTTGAAGCTTAGGGCTTCGGGCTCTTGGCTGGAGGTCAGGAGCTACTCAGAAGAAGTCTGGGTTGGTTGCTAAGAAACACTATCTCAAAGATAAGGGTCTGGTCCTTCTTTTTGCTGAGCAAAGGTCATTGCTTGCTCGCTTTTTTTTCTATCTATCCTCACAGATAAGGTCACATTTCTCCATTCTCTGGAAATGTACTAAGAGGCTTTAGCTTAACCTGAACCTAAAACTCAAAACTATAGGCTTTAGAAGACATACAGGTTACAGAGTTAGTCTAACCCTTTCAATACTTGCCTCCTAAGAATCTTGGATGGATTGTAAGCAAAAACATGCAAAAATCTGGGGCTGACATTAACCAGCTATCATTACACTATCATTTGACTTACATTTGCTTAAAAAGGAAGGAAAAGGCAATCTTAAGAACAAATGGTTAAATATTTTTGTCTGCCCTTATGAATGCTAATATCCTTCCCTCAATTATTTGATAAAAATAATGATCTGTGAGATAGTGAGTTATTTTTCTTAATAGCCTTTAAACAATTAAAAGTAGAATGTTATTTAAGACTCAAATGACCCACTCATTAAAAAGTTTTATAATTTCAACCAGCTATATCATAAAATTCGGGTATCTTCTACAGATATCTCAAAATTGATTGTCTAGACCTGGTGGCATATGTCTATAATTCAAATAAATTTAGAGACTTTTGGGAGGCTGAGGCAGGAAAATTATGAGTTCAAGGCCAACCTGAGCTACTTAGTAAGACCCTCAAGGGAAAAAAATTCAAGGGTAATGCTATAATGTTAGGTGTGGAATGTTTATATTTCAACACAATCCATGTACCGAAGGTGAATCTTTAATATTTTGTCAAAACAGGAAAAGAAGAATTATTTTAGATAAAGAATTCTCTGTCTTAATTTATTCCTTTGTTAGTATGTGAGACATATACCATCCTAACATTTAACTATTGCTATTATCATGATTAGCAGAGGGTAAAAGTAGTTTTTCTCTTAGCTTGCTCACTGATTTGAAATATTTTCTGTGGAAGATTGCCCAGATCCCCAGCAGGCCTAGAAACAGCCTTTGAATAAGTCCGTATCACCTATGCCTGCGGGTGGTCTCAGTATATGTTTATGACCACCTCCCCTCATGAAGAGCAAAGGTTCTGATGCCCCCTCCCCAACCAACACCTTCTCTGGGGAATCTCTAGCTTTTCCTTTCCCTGTAACATTATCAGTCCTGAGCACATTGGCCTCACTTGTGGCAACTCAGTATCCAAGTGCGTTAGTTCCCCAGTAAGGGGAACAGGGACTGTCTCTGACATGAACTCAGTGGCTGGCTCTTTGATCACCTCCCCCTGATGGGAGAGCAGCCTTGCCAGGCCACAGAGGAGGACATTGCAATCAGTCCTGATGAGACCTGATAAGCTAGGGTCAGATGGAAAGGGAGGAAGACCACCCCATCAGTGGACTTAGAGAGGAACAGGGAGGAGATGAGGGAGGGAGGGTGGGAATGGGAGGGAATAAGGAAGGGGGCTACAGCTGGGATACAAAGTAAATTAACTGTAATTAATATTAAAAATAAATTTTTAATTTAAAAAAGATGAGAGAAATGAAAAAAGGCTATTTCTTATTATCAGCTTTACAACATTTTTACTTATGTGAAATTTGGTTATCACACATGCATTTTCACACCTAATTATTTTCTTCAATTTTTATCTTTTCAGGTGTTTTTACCGTTCACATTCATAGCACTGACCATCACCCTGTGCTTGGTTTTGATTCCCCTTGTCAAGTCTCCCAAGATGCATTATATCTATGTGCTCCTCTTCCTTCTCAGTGGAGTGTTCTTTTATGTGCCATTGATACACTTTAAGTTGAAGCTGGTTTGGTTTCAGAAGCTGACTTGCTATCTGCAGTTACTCTTTAATATTTGCATCCCTGATGTGTCTGATGAGCACATACCAGAAGTAGAAAATTGAAAAAGAGTAGCCTTTTATAACCACACCATGTTCCAGATAAAGGTTAAGTGTAGGCTAGAATAGTAATGATGGCAACTCTTGAAATAAAAATGGTGTATAGAAAAGTACCCAGGAAGTTCCTGGTTTTAAAATGGCAAAGAAAGTGACTGGAGAGATTGTTGTTAAGGGCAGCCATTGCTCTTCCAGAAGACTGGAGTTCAATTCCCGAACCCCACACAGAAGGTCACAACTGTCTGTAACTCCAGACATGGAGGACCCAATATCCTCTTTTGGGTTCTGCAGGCACTGCACGCACATGGTAAGCAGATATACATGTAGGCAAACACCCACACATTTACAAAAGAAAAAGATAAGTGTTACTAAACTCTGTTTTAATAAAAATAAAGTTCCTAGTTTGTATAGTTGCATGTATCAATGATGTCTTTTTCATTCTCCTGTTTATCGCATCCATTTTCTACTGAATGTGCTCTTATAATAAAAGTTAATGATTGAAAATAAACAAAAGTTCTCCCATAAATTTTCTTTTTTGGCAGCATAAGACAATCCTAATAGGTATTTTTACTGTTGTGTTGTTTATCTTGGAGACAGGTTCTCACTCTGTAGCGCCGGCTGCCTTGAACTCATAGCACTCACTCCTGTTGCCTCAACCTCCATCGTACTAGACTGATGGGCAGAGAGTCTGTTTCAGTTCCTGCACCAGCTCCTCAATGATGGGCTAGAATCTGTAAACTAGGATAAATCCCTTCTTCACCAAACTGGTTTTGGCCAGTGTTTTATTACAGCAACAGAAAAACACAAACAATAAAACAAACCAAGAACCTAGTATAGATGGGTACAGACACATTTAGCAAGCTTTTCACCTTCAAACCAAAAGTACTTTAGCTAATAACAGAGGACAAATGAAGTGTTCTAAGGACCATATTAGTTATCTTTCCTGTTGTGATAAAAATATCCTGACAATGTGGTTTAAGGGAGAAAGGGCTTATTTTGGCTACAGTGCCGTCAGAACACGGTTCACTGGTCAGAGAGACAAGGCCGCAGCCAGGAAAGCATGGCGGCAGGAACGAGATGCTGGCGGTCACAGTCTGCTGCCCAGGAAGCAGGATGTGGACAGAAGGCAGCGCATCCCACAGGGCCGCAAAGCTGGTGCCTAGCAGCCTACTTCGTCCAACAAGACTCTACCTTTCCAAGGCTCCCAAACAGCACGACCAGCTGGGAACCGAGTTTTCCAACATTTGAGCCTGTGGAGGCCATTTCACAGTCAGACCACAACAGCAATGAAAGATAGTGACGATTCTCTTTAAAACCTGCTAACCATCTATAGATTCCTTTACCCCCCTGAGTTAACTTTCCTTCCTTCCTTCCTTCCTTCCTTCCTTCCTTCCTTCCTTCCTTCCTTCCTTCCTTCCTTCCTTCCTTCCTTCCTTCCCTCCTTCCCTCCTTCCCTCCTTCCCTCCTTTCTTCCTTTCTTTTTCTCTCTTTGTTTTTTGACTGGGTCTCACTGTGTACCCTAGGCTGTCCTAATATTCCTATCTCAGCTTCCTGAGATCTGGGTCTACAGTCGTAAACCTAGCTGAGAATAGGATTCCTTAAAACGAGAATTAAATGAAACAATAGACTAAAAATAAAAAGTCAGTTATTGATACATGGTAAATGCCAAATTTGTGTTAAACTAAAATCCCTATTGTTTTAAATAACCATACTGCCAACACCCATGATTTAGCCTAAGGAGGGTACGCAAAGTGGAGACACTGACAATTTTTTTAAAAATGTTCTACAAAATTGAAAAAAACAAGTAAATAATAGATATAAAACAAATGTTTACCAAATGAACAGGCAAAGGAGATGGGCAAAGAAAGTCACAAGTATGCAGGATGAGGAAAGAGTCTCTAGTGAGTATTTGTTATTCTAAATTGCTAGAAGAAACAGGTATAGTGCCCAGATGAATGCTGTGGGAACTCAACAACTTAAGACAGCATGGAGAATGCTAGGACATAAGCTTTCCACAAAACACTGTGTGTGTTTCTGCTGATAGCAGGCTCTGTTGCAGCCTGAGAAATTCCTGGAGCCCCTGGTAGGAAAGCTCTTTGAACTGGATTAAGGTTAAAGCTTGTCCCACCTTGTCTGGAATTTTATGTAATAATATTGCATACTTATCTAGTATCAAATTTCAATTTATGTAATACACATTCAGTACCTTGCCATAAACAGAACTCATTAAAACAAACGAAATGTACCAGGACAAGTTGTTCCTCATAAAAGCAAGTGGCTTCTGTAATTGTCTTTCGTTTCTGGGTTTCAAGGCTCTTCCTGAGCACAAGCAGAATTCCACCTAGAATTTCACTGACTGCTGATCCCAATCTTATCACAACAGCTCGGTATTTTTAAAGGAAAAACATATCATTAAAAGATAATATTTTCTTTTGCTCACAGGAAACACGCACAGTGTTTTTCACTGAAGGATTCTGGCTTATATACTTTCTGACGTCATACCTGCCCTCAAAGCCAATTCTCCTTTTGGAGTTTTTTTTAAAAGCTGGATGGCATGGTATGAAGATGTTATAGTTTACAAAGCAAAGCCCAATTCCCGTGAGCTGTGTCTTCTGGAAATGGTAAGGAAGCTTCACTCATGGTAGCTCGATAACGTGGCTGCCTAAGAAGACATGGACAACTACAACAGCCAATAGACAAGCTAAGTAGAACAGGGGAATTTCCAGGGATCCAGCCCCCTAGACGAAGAAGTACAGGTGACTAAGAAATGCTGAAATCCATTAGAAATAGTCTTCCTTAGGAAGACTCCCCTAATTGATTATTTAACACCAAGTAGTCAGCTCTGAAATTTATGTACCAGTAACAATAGAGACAGAATAGGTTGTTTTTATATATTCAGGCACATCTATCAGTTTATCCATCCATCATCTTTTTTTCTTCCTTCCTTCCTTCCTTTCTTTCTTTCTTTCTTTCTTTCTTTCTTTCTTTCTTTCTCTCTCTCTTTCTATTATGTATCTAACATCTATTTATCTAATCTATCTACATCTATCTATATCTACATCTATCTATCTATCTATCTATTGTCTACCTATCTTTTTGTAAAGGAAGAGAGACCATGATTTTGAGAGAGAGCAAAAGAGACATGTTGGAGAGATGGAAAGGATGAAAGGGAAGGGGAAAAATCATACAAGTATATTTTATTAAGAAAAAAACAATTCCTGGAATCTTTGTGATTTTTTTATGCTTAGTCAGCAGAAAGTTACTTGAAATGACATAAAGCAATTACTGTATCTGTGGGAAGCCCTCTGGAAAGAAGAAAATGAGTTCTGTTTAAATATTTTGAGCTGAAGGCTAATCTTAGCGATATGGCTTTGAAGCAATTAACATTGTAGCCCCTTTCATTGCTCTTCAGGGAAACTATTGCGAGATTATGGGCATATTAACTATGGTTGAGGGGGGAAGCTGTTCATGAAAGGATGCTATTGAAAAGCCACAGTCCCTGAGTCACAAGGGTCTTTGTGACTGGTAACATTACTAGGAATTTCTCTTCTCTCTTTCTTCCTCTCTCCTCTTTATCTCTAAAGCCACCAAGATTAAAACATCGTTGATATAACACCTCTTTACACCATGGTCAACCAAGATTCTATCCTTTTAATGTTTAACAATAGGAACAAAACCAAATTATGTCCCCGATACAGCCACCTTGAGCAAAGTGATTTACAATATTATGGCTTCCACAGGGTTATAAAAAGCCTAGTCAATCAAATAATCAAAAACTTCAATAATTTTCTACTAATATTTATGGATAAGTTTTCCAAATTGCGTTTAATTTCTTTGCTGAAGGAATTATTGAGAGGTCAAATGTCTTTTAGAAGCTATTGGATAAGATAAAATTAGACCTTCTTCCTTTTTTATGAATTGTTTGGGAATAGTTTGTTTGAGTGAATGTGGGCACAACCAAATGTTCCTCAGATATGACTTGTGCCAACATATGGGGGGGTAGACGAAAAGAGAGAGTTCGCTAGACCATACATAAAAGACCTCACCTTGTACCTATACACGCCCCTCATCTATCCCACAGTCACTCCATGCTCCCCTTTCTGACTTCTGCTCTGCAAATCTCTCAGAGAATGTGGCCCTCCATGAGAAAGCAGACTTCAAAAGACATCAGATTTGTGTTTGGTCTTGGAGTTTCCTAGGCACAGAACTGTAAGAAATGTATTTCATTGAATGTATCCATTGAATGTATTCATTGAATGTATTTTAATTGTTTAAGTCACATAGGTTCATGGCTTTTCATGCAGTAGTCCCAGACAGACTGTGATAGGAACTGCGGAACCAGAACATGCTGCTTCCACACTCCGTTCTTCTCTATGGTAAGAGCTTTTCCACTGTGCTGTTTATTTTGAAGGAACATTCTTGGAAAGGGAGGGAAAGACTCAATAAGGTACAAAATGATCTGTGCTGACACTCCCTCCTAGCTTGGTCAAGTTCAGGGTGAACATAAATTTTTCTAGATGGAAAGCACTAAAAGTTGAGGAAATAGTACTTTCTCCCCCCCCCAACAAAATGGAGGTCCAACACACACACACACACACACACACACACACACACACACACACACACA